AGGCTCACAGAGAGCTCGCGCGGGCAGGGGCGGGCCGCAGGTCGGGGGAACGCGGGCGCTCGAGGCCGGACGCGCGATGGGGCTCGGGCTCCGTGGGCTCATCGGGAGACCCCGCACGGCTGGGGAAGGGGAGATCGCAGACCCGAACCCCTCCGTTTCGGCTGCGACTCTTTGGAGAACGCCTCCGTGTCCCAGAGCCTAAGCTTCCCCACCAAACTGAGAGGAGCCATTCCTGCCTCTGAGCGACAGAGGGGGACACCCCCGGGGACGCCTTCCCAGGGCGGGAGAGCCGGGAGCAGCAGCGTTTCCTAATTCTGTTGACACCTGTCATTTTCCCTTCAAAATGGGAAATGGTTGAACGTTTTTCGCAGTCATCTACACGAGGAATAACCCCAAAAGGATGGAGTTATTCCTCGTGGCACTGCCCAGAGAGAACCACGAACACCTGGCAAAGGCGGGTCGCCTGGGCACAAGGAGCAGCGCCGCCGTTCCCCCGCCGGAGCCCAGCGTCAGGGACCAGGGGTGCCCAGCAGCGCAGCCCCCGCGGCGCAGACATCTCTGCGGCCGGCAGTCGTGGCCGCCGCCGCGAGGCTGCCTGTGGTCGCGCCCCGCGGAGGGCGCCTGGCCTCGTTCGCCGTGCCCCGCCCAAGGGCTTTCTTGGGAAACATCTCCCAGACAGGAAGTCGCTCTGTGAAAAGAGACGCGTGCTTTTTTGTAATAGTCCTAGTTTTATTGTATTTTTTTTTTCCCTTTTCCATTTATCCTCCTTTCGGCCCCCACGCGCTCTTCAAGGCTTTTAAACAAACTGCGCTTGCGGAAGGGCCTCTGAATGCACGCGGGGCTAGGCCAGGGTCGGGGACGCCGAGCTTCGTCCCGTCCTCACCGCTCCCGAAGGCAGCACGTTCTTCCTGTTCTTTGCCTGTTGGGGGTGTGAGGTTTGCTCCCCCTGCAGCCCTAGCTGCTCCCCATTCAGACAGCCCCCCTTCGTCGTCCTCGGCGTCCGGGCCCAGCCCTTGCCAGCGGCCGCTCTCCCTCTGGGCTGGAAACCAGCAGCGCCCGGGCCAGCGATGTCAGAGGCTAGCTCCCAGCATGCCTTGCAACCATGGGGGCAGGGGAGGGTGGACAAAGGATCCTGGGACTTTCCCCTGGGTGCTGCGCCGGGGTCACTGAGGGTGGCAGGTGTGGAGGTGGGCAGGTGAGGCTGAGTCACGCGGGGCCACTGGGCGTGGTTTCTTGGATGGGCTCCAGAGTTGACAGGAAGGTTCCAGTAACCGGTGGCTGAGCTGGGCTGATGGCTGGTGCTGCCGGAGCCCAGCCCTGCACGTAGCAGGAGCCGGGGGGCGGGCGGGGGGACGGGGCAGGGGGAGAGCACCAGATGAGGAGGCAAGGCCCCCGGGAGGGGCCCTGGGAGGGTCTCAGGCGTGAAAAGCCCTCCCCCCGGGGCCCAAGGAGTCCCCAGGAATCAGATCTAATGGGACCGTGCCCCCAGCCATGTCTGTCTGTCCGTTTGTCTGTCTGTCTGTGGGCACTTCTCAAGTGCACGGCCCGTGGGGGGTTCAGACATTCGCGCAGCAGGGAGACACTCGGTCGCTCGGGCCCCTCCGCGCGGAGTCCGCGTGGGGCTGAGGAAGAGGATGGAGAAGCCAGGGTTCGAGTGCAGGCTCCCGAATGGGCCAGCTCCGGTCCCGAGCTGCTTCCCGCACTGGGAAGCCTCCGTCTCCCCACCGGTGAGGGGGGAGCGCCCCGCCCCGTGGCCTTGTTGGCGGGGCTACCAGACGTCTCTGGGCGCCCCAGGCTGCGGCCCCATCTCCCACCACGCACGGGCCCCACCTTCCCAGGTCCCCCGCACGGGCCCCGAGCCAGGCCTGGGGCAGACGCGCAGCGAACGCTCCCAGAGAGAATGAGGGAGCGATGTGTGCTCAGCACTCGCCCGACACACCGTGGGGCGCCCAGCAGGGGCCGCGCACGGGGGCCTGGGGTGGGACTTTGAGCAAGTCATCCGCCTCTTCAGGGCCTCAGTTTGCTCGCCTATAAAATGGGCTCGTTCGTTGGGACCTGGTGGCCTGATCTACAACCCACTAGTTGTAGACAGTTAAGGGACAGTTAAGTTAGGGTCTGGTCTTCCTGCAGGCAGACAGGGGCAGGGAAGGAAAGGGAAGGGGTACAGGAAGAGCCGTTGCCTCTGCCGCCGAGGGTGCTGGCTGTAGAGGACCAGGCTGCGGGCCTGGGGGGTGCCTCTGGGCACTCTGCTTAAGCCCAGGGGGTGAGCACGCCATTCCACGCCTGTGCGCGCCCCACGCCGCCCGGGGCCACCAGGGCATGCGGGCAGAGCAGTGAGCGGCGCGGGCTCTGGTCCTGTGCCGGCCCCCCCGTGGGTGGGGCTGGCCAGCTTCCAGATCTTCTGATTTCTTAAGAGAAGCCCCAGATCCAAGGCCTTCTCTGAGAATTGTCCTGATTTGAAAACACGGGCCCCCTTCCTGCTTTTGTGTCTGCCCAGGTTCCTTCAGAAGGCCGGGGGGTGGGGGGACAGGGGGCGCTCCGTGAGCTCTGCAGGGCCAGCTTCCCGCGACAGCGGGGCGGCAGGCCGGCGTGGGGTGAGGCCGACCCGGCCCCGGATCTCGGGGCCATCTGTCACAGGGCCTGCGTTTTCATTTTGCACCTGCAGGCCAGGACTTGCTCCGGGAGGGTCCGCTGGGTCCCCGGGGGTGAGGGGATGTGCAGGCCCCTAACGGGCGAGGGGCGGGGGCCCGGGGGGAGACTGTGTGTGTCCACGCGTGAGTGTGCGCGCGTCCGCCTTACTCGTGGGCGTGTGTGTGTTTGCGTGGCTGCTGTGTGGCTGTGGGGTGTGAGGTGCGTGTGAGTGTGCGCAAAGGGAGAGGTGGTAGTGGCTGTTTAACAAATATTTGCCGAGCGCCGGCTCCGGGCCAGGCGCGGCACGAGGGGCTGAGGGGCGCGAGCCCTGTCCGGCCTGGGGGCAGGATGGCCGGTCCGAGGGAGAGCCCTGTATACGGTCGCCCGAGTAAAAGGGCGGACCGGGCTGCCCCTCCGAAAATTCAACCGCTTCACCACCTCGCCCGGGGAGAGAGCAGGTGAAGCTGGTTTCCCGGAATTGGGTGGAGGGTGGGGGGTGGGGGGTAATCTGGGAACGGTCGGGCGTTCGGGGGCAGGCACACCCAGGCTGGGAGCGGGACCTCCCTCCGGCCTGCCCAGCAGCAGCGATTCCACAGAAGCAGATAAGAGGTGACCAGCTGCTCAAGGCAGGACTGGAACAGCCCGGCCACACCCAGGGAGAGGCCGCCGGCAGCGAGGGGCCAGCCTGCTGCAGCTCCTGAGCTGGTGACAGTTGGGAGTGAGGGTGGCCGACACCCAACAGAGCGGGTGTCCCGGACGGGGTGTGAAGAGCCAGCCCAGGGGCGTGTGCCGGCTCTGCTGGGTCGTGCAGGGCAATGCCAGGCGAAGACACCTTGAGGCAGGAACAGGTGCCCCTGGGGGGAGCCAAGGACACCCCGCCCCCCCCACGCTGCCGGGCGGCCCAGGTCCCCGGCTGGGCGGAGGCCGCAGCACGGCCCGCACCTGGAGGCAGGAGTCCTGGGCTCCAGCGCCTCTTTACCCGCCAGGCGACCTTGGGCCAGCCCCCCAGGGACGCGGGTCCTCCCCATCTACTCCGAGGCCGTGGTGTAGACCCAAAGCGATAACAAGGCGAGGGAAGCAGCTCATAAACTGCAACAGGACGAAGGTCGCGGGGGAGCGGGGCGGGGCCTCCCTCGGGCCGAGGACAAGGGGGCCGGGCCTCCTCCCGGCTCCCTCGCCTTCTGGCTGGTGCCCCTTCGGGCAGAAGACCGGGGATGGAGGCAGGCAGAGCAGTGCTGCGCTGGGTCCCCAAGCTCCTCCTCCGGTCCAGGCAACAGGGGTGCATGACCCCTGTAGGGGCCCCCCAGGCAACATGGGTGCAAAAATCAGCTCGGTGCCAGCATGAGGGGTCTTCACCAGACGAGGCCACGCTGCCACAGGGCCCCCCGGAAGGGGCCTGGCCGGCCTGTGAGCCGCGGTGTCTGCGCCCGCGCCCGTCACCTCTGCAGCCGGCCGCACGCTTCAGAGGGACGCGCTTCAGAACGCCTTCCCGGCGGCCGCCGGGCACTCGTTCTACGGCCGCTGCTCCGCCCAGCCGGCTTCCCCACTGCCCTGCCTGTCCTTGTTTCTGCAGAGCAAGCCCCTCGCCGCCACCTCCCCCGCCCCCCGACACACTCGCTCTCCGAAGGGCCCTTCCTTCCCCCCATCCCTGCGGCAAATGAGCTGGTATTTCTAAGACGACGACATTTCAGAGTTCCAAAATCTGACGCCTCAGACCTCTGGGACCTCCCCCTGGCAGCCGTTCCTCGCAAGGAAGCTACGTGCAGGGAGGAGCCCGGTGCACGGCCTGGGGCCCTGCTGAGCAGGAGGCCGCAGCCCCGGGCAGCTGCCGGGGCACAGAGCTCAGCCTGCCTGGCCTGGGCAGGTCCCGCAGCCGAGCCTCACCTTCCGCATCTGTGCCGCCGCGTCGCGGGAGGGCGGTCGAGGCTCCCGAAAGGCCAGCCCCTCCTGTCCCTCGGCCTCCAGTGTCCTCTCCCTTGTGCTTGCTTCTCCCTCCGCAAGATCGTCACTCTGATTCCGCACCGGATGACAAGGACAGATCGTAGCTCAGACACTCTGCTCACGGCCAGCGTGGCCAGAGGGCAGGAGTGCCTCTTCCACAGGCCAGACATGCGCCCTGGACTCTCCCGGGCGGGCTCTGGGTTGCGTCGGCCGCAGCTGGGCCTGCGGGGTCACGCGCCCGCAGGCGTGGCGCTGCGTAGCCCCTTCTGCCCCACCTCTGGCCTGCAGGCTGACCCACAGACCCCGGGCCCCACCCGCACCCTGGCCTTATCGAACGCACCCTGGTCTTATCCGAACACCGCGTGTCAGGGAGCTAAGACAAAGGTTACAAACAGCCCAGGCGGCACTTTATTGGAGGTCTCTGCCTCCATTCGGGAGAAGGAGCCGGAGCCCCACCCTGAGAGCCCAGCACCCTCGCCGCTGCGGGTCTGAGCACACTCAGGGGCCTGTCTTAGAAAAAATAGATCTCTATGTACATCTGACATACGTATAGCACATAAATTAGGGAGTGCTCTGACCCCCGCCTGCGGAGCCTGAGCTTGGGAGTGGGGAGGGGGGCGGAAGCCAGTCCAGAACCAAGGCACAGGGCCCTGTCCCCTCGCTCACGGGTCCGGGCCTCCCCCGCCTCCCAGCCACCGTCCGGGTGCCCGCAGGATGAGGGTGGCCGCAGCCAGGGTCTGGGTCGGGCACCAGAAGGCACCAGGAGCCACATGTGGAGCATCGTCGGTGGACCAGTCACTCTCAGCCCTGGGCTTGTAGTTCCACGGAGAGGCGGCTGGGGAGACCCCAGAGCCTCGGCTGCCTCTGCAGCACAGCGGTCCACGCGATAGGGGCCACTGGCCTCAAGTCCATGTGTCCGTCTCGGCCCCCGTGGCCCCTCAGTTCCGACTCCCGGCCACCTCCTCCTCCTTCCAGCCACTGGAGTTTTTGCCGAACTTGTAGACAAGCCGCCGGCCGTCCACGCGCTCCAGGATCTCCCGCTTGTAGTAGTACCTGCGCAGACGCGGGGTCAGAGGGGCCCGGCTGCCCGTCCGCAGGGGGCCGGACCCCACTGCGTTCTGGCCCTGCCAGCCTGAGCCTGACTCGCCTTCTGGCCTAGACCTGCGCCCCAGGGACCGCCTGCCTCTGCTCCTCTGTACCTATGGCTGCGGCCGGGGCCTTGTCATGAAACCACACGATTTCAGGGCTGGAAGGGACCATGCCAATAATGAAGCAGTTTGTTTGTTTCCGCAGAGGCAGGTGCAGGACGTGCTAAGAAGCGGCCCCTCTGCCCCAGGGAGGTGTCGTCAGAGGAGCCAGCACCTGCGGCGCCCGCGCCCTCAGGCCGCGCCTGACGCTCACCTCATGGCCCTGCTCAGCTTCTCGTAGGTCATGCTGCTGTTCTTCTTCTTCTGGCCCCACAGCTGCGCCACGGCCTCGGAGCGCAGGAACTTGAACACGCCCTCCTGCCGGTTCTCCCACTTCATCAGGCCCTCGTTCAGCTCGGGGTGGATGAGGATGTCCCGGATGAACTCCCACAGGTGGGTGCCTCTGGGGGCTGCGGGGTCAGGCGTCAGCAGCAGCCAGCGCGCCGTCCCTCGGCGCCCCCCGCCCCCCGCCGGCCAGCGCCCGCGGAGCTGCCCCCCGATGGGAGCCCGGGAGGCCCGGGAACAACTGACAGGCTCCCAGCTGGGGGGCCACAGCTAGGGAGCCAACACGCCCACGGCAGGCGACCGTCAGCACGGAGGGACGCCGCAGCCTCCGCCGCCCCCCCCGGCGTGCGCCCGCCCCGCGCCCCCCGCGCCCGGCCCGGTGCCCACCGTGCTTGCTCTTCCTGCCCTCCAGGCTGTCCCGAGACTCCCGGCTCAGCTTCCGCGGCCGGCCCCGTTTCCGCTTCCCGTGCTTGGGGTCCTCCTTCTGGTAGTCAGGGAAGCCGTCTGCGGGGCGGGGGGCGGTCAGCAGAGCGAGGGGCGGGGGGCGGGGAGGCAGCGCCCCTGCCCCGACGCCCACCCTCCGCTCACCCCTGGGGAAGAGCTTGCTGTCCGACGGGTCGAGGTCCACGTCGCTGCCCCCGGAGGAGTCCGAGCACGGGGAGCTCTGAGAAGCGCCGGTCCCTGGGGAGGCAGGCCCCGGTGAGTCCCTCCAGCCCGCGCCCCAGCCCACCACGGGCCGCCGGCCAGCTCCACGCCCCCTGGAGCGCGGGGCCGAGGGCTCGGGGTCCCGGGGTGATGGGGAGGCGAGCCCTCACCTGCGGTGGAGACGTCGGAGCAGCCGGGAGACGGGGCTCCTGCGCCATAGCCGCCCAGGCGGTAGGGGCTGGGCTGCCGCCTGTCCTCGGGCACCTCGGGGCCGAAGGGGCTTCCCTGGTCTGGGAGAGGAGGCGAGCGCTCAGACAGGGCCCCGAGGACGGGGCGGGGGCGGGGGGTCACCCAGACATGTGACGGTTGACCTGCTGCCCTTCCTCGCTAGGGAGACGGGCGGGGGTGCAGGGAGGGCATGGGTGCTCGCTCACCAAAGGGGCCCGGGTCCCCCAGGGTCTCCTGGAACGACATGCTGTCCTGCTCCAGCAGGTCAATGATCCAGCTCAGCTCGTCGGAAAAGCTGGAAGCTGAGGGGGAAGCAGGGGTCAGCGCCACGGCCTGGGGCCCCAGCCCTTCCCGGACCTGCGGACCCCTGGACCAGCCCCTTACGGAGTGGGGCCCCGGGCGCAGGGGCGGCACTCACTGAGGTCCCACAGCTGGGCGTAGAGCTGGTCGCCCAGCGGCCCGAAGACCCCGCGCAGCTCCTCGGGCGCACAGCGGCAGAGCGTGGCCCCGTCCATGTCGCAGCGCGAGAAGTCGATGGTGCTGGCGTCAAACTTGTTTTTCTCCACCTGGTAGCTGATCCAGTCCAGCACCTGGGCCTTGGACCAGAACTGGGGCTGCTCCCTCGACCAGCTGGCCTTCTCTGGAGGGGGCCGGGCACAGCGGAGGGTCAGCGGCAAGCCCCCGGGACGAGGCCGACCGCCCTGCACCCCGCGCCCCGCGCCTCGGCCGCGCGCGCCCCCTCCCAGGCCTCGTCCCCCAACCCCCAGCTGCCCCCGCTCTCCAGGCACCCCTCCCTGCCAGACCCACCTGGGCCCTCCGGCAGCATCTGGGCGTCGCTCCGGGACAGCGTGAGGTCATCGGCCCCAAAGGGGGCAGCGGGGGGCACAGAGGCCAGCGCGGGGTCCTCAGGGCTGTACATTGTGCTGAAGTAGTTGCTGAACACGTTGCTGATCTCGCAGGTCGCAGCCATGAGGCGACCTGGCGGGGGGGGGGGGCAGTGCTGGTGAAGGGCCTGCCTGCCCCTGCCCTGCAGGAGCCCTCGCCCTGAGGCTTGGCGGGCGCGGCCGGGGCACGAAGGCCCCCATCTCTCCCGAGCCCCCGCCTTCAAGACAGGCTGTGCTCTGAGAGCCCCATGGGGCGCCTGGCGTCCTGCCGGCTCCCTCCTCGGGACCAGGTCCTGGCGTGCGGCTGGCAGAGCCCCGGCCACCCCGTCCCTCCCGGGGGTGGTCCCCGGCTCTCGGACCCTCCAGACACGTCCCGTCCCCGCACCCTCCTGCGGGGTGCCACGCCCGCACCACCCCCATTTCCCCAGCCCAGGCCGGGGACCACGACAGGTGGGGGACCTACCGAAGGGGTGATGCGGGCGTGGCAGGCACACAGGCAGGACGAAGGGACAGCAGGCGCCAGAAATGCAGGAGGCAGAGAGCTCTGGGCCAGGCGCTGCCTCCGCGGCTCCCTCCGCCCTAAATAGGCCCCCGGAGCTCCTCCCCGAGAGGCCTCCGGAGCGTAACCCGAGCTGGCGGCTCATTGGACGGAGGGGATTTCCTGGCCTTTAGACTGGGCTACGGGGCCCAGGTGATTTGCATATTTTGTGCCACTTGGCCCAGGTCCTACCTGGGGTGCTGGGAAATCAGGCCCAGCTGGTTTAATGATTGTCAGACGGCCGTCCCCCCCTGCACCCTCGAGGGCTGGGCCCAGGGTGCTCGCCTGGGCAGGTGGTGGGAGGGTCGCTGGGCGCGGGGTGTCCTGTGGTTCCCGCCACCCTCGGGCTCAGAGAACTCCTCGAGGGGGTGGGGTGGGGTGGGGTGGGGTGGGGGACGGGTCAGAGAGGGGCTGCCAAGGGGAAGGGTTCCAGGGGGAGGGTCCCAGAGGCTGCTGGCCCCAAGCGTCCGGAGATCAGGGGACAAGGGGGCTTGGTGGGTAGACCCCACCGCCAGACGGCCGGGGTTCTGGCTGGAGGGCTCTCTGGGCAGCATTCACAGGGCCTGGGTGGGACCCTGCCTGCCTGGCCCCGGGCCCCCGCGTCCCTGCGTCCCCAGCCTTCGGGCCCGCTTGCTGGCACCTGCTTCGATGGCGAGGTCTTGGCGTTCCCCGCCCCTGGGGCCCCTCCAAGCGTCAGGGAGGCTGCAGCCCCTCTGGACGGGCCGGGCTCCCCGCAGCCCGCCCTCCGCGCCTGCGGTGCGGGAGGCGCAGGACTCCGCAGGCTGTGTTTACCGCTCCGTCTGGTCTACCTGGTCTCCCACCCCTTCGCCGCGCTCCGGCCGCGCACCTGCGCTCTCTGCTGCCCCCTAGTGGTCAGCGAGCGACCGCCTGCGTTCTTCACGCAAGAGGGCGGGGAGGGGGGTGGTGTCCGCGTCCCATTTCCCATAGGCTCCGTGGTCCCCACGAACCCCTGCACGCAGCTCCGGTCGTCCCCCTCTGCAGACGGGAAGTGGCAGCCCGGAGCCCGGGCCGCCCGCGGCGAGTTACGTGGTGGGGCCAGGACGCACCTGCCTCAGCCCCGGGGGGCCGAGTGGCGTCCTCGCGCCTCTGGGCGTCTCTGGGGCTCGGCCCTGAGCACAGGGCCGGCCCTGCAGACCCCACGAGACCCCGAGAGGGGCGGCGGGGGCAGGAGGCCTGTTCTCTGGTTTCTCCCCGCTCTGTGGCACCTCAGTTTCCCCGCCTGTAAAAGCCGGGCGGTTTGGACTAAGCCATCCTTGAGGTCTCTTCCAGGTCCTAGGATGGAGGCCGCAAGGCCCGGTCTCCCTGCCCCCTCAGTCAGGGCCCTGGCCCGGCCCCTCGTGGCCAAGGGCAGCCTCGGAGGGTGACGTCGCTCGGCAGGGAGGTGTCGGCACCCCCAGAGCCGCCCCAGCCCTGCAGCCCGAGGCTGAGGGTCCGGCTGCGACCTGCTTCCCAGCCTCCCTGGGCTGGGAGCTCTGGGTGCCCAGGGGCAGGGAGGGTCTGCTCCCTCCACGGGCCCTGGGTTTTCCCAGCCCTGCGGGGCCTCCCCCACGGAGCCCGGGGCGAGGTACAGCCTCCACCCAGCCACCCGGCCTGGAATGTGGGAGAACCGGCTCCCAGCCCCTGCCTGGGACTGCTCACGTGCTCCGCGCACTGAGGGCAGAAGGACAGAGGGGACAAGACGTGTGTCAGCGCCCTTGCCTTCAAGGGGCTTCACCGGGGAAGCGGCCGAGGGCAGCGAGCCCACCAGCGGGCGCCTGACCGCCGAGCATCAGGCCTTCACCGCCGGGGCTACGCGGCCGCGTGGGAGGCTGGAGGCCGGTCAGTGCCCTGGAGGGCAGGTCAGGCAGCACTGCCGGGATGGGGGCCGCACCCGCACAGCCTCCTCCGAGGACAGAGCCCGTCGGGAGCGCTGTTCCCGGCCCGGACCGGGCAGGCACAGCCAGGGGACCGGGGCAGCCAGCGTGCGGGCGGCAGGGGGCACCCCTCGGGGGCCCCGCTGTGGCCAGGAGGCACGGGAGTCACAGCGGCTGTGGAAGAGCTTCCGTGACCCGGAACGACGGCCCCCCGCCCCCCCGGGGGCTCCAGGGCTTTGCACAAATGAAGATCGAGCCCCGCTCTCCAGGCCAGTGAGCGGCACCCCAGAGCGGGGCAGGGGGTGCCTGGACAGCCCCGCCTCCAGCACGCGCCCTGGGGAGACCCCGGGCCCTCGGCAGCCCGCTGCAGGACGCGGCCACACTGCGCGCTTGCTTTCGCTGGGAGGACAGGCCTGCGAGGCGCTGGGCTGTGCTCTGCCCCAGGCCGGGGGTCCTGGGCGGGGGGCCAGGGCCGAGGAAGGCGCCACGATCGGGGTCGGAGCAGGCGCGGCCTGGGCGCCCTGTATGTGAGGAGGCGGCTCACGTGTGTTGAACACTTTTTTAAATGTATTTTATTGGTTAGGCTGTTACAGTCGTCCCAGTTTTTCCCCCTGCGCCCTGCTCCGCTGGAGTGTTTCTTTGCGCCCTGTCCTCATCCCGCACCGTGGACTACTCAGCGAACGTGTCCACGGCTTCGGCCCCCACGCTGAAGCCAGGAGGGAGCTCGGCGCCGCGTTCTGAACAGACTGCCGCTTCCCGCGCCCTTCGGTGCCCAGGTTCAGAGGCCGCGGAGGCCTGGTGCACGGAGAAGGCTCCGGAGAGACAGAGGCGTTGCCGCCCGGAGGGGATGGGGAGGGGAGCGTGGGGGTGGGGAGGGAGGGCCCAGCCCTCCTGGACGCGCGGGGGCCAGCACCCGCCGCGCTCGGCCTGTGCTCGCTGGGACCCGCGCCTCCCGCAGCCCGGAGCTCCCTAAGGACAGAGGGTCCCCGGTGACCGTCCCAGGACATGTGCTCGAGGGGATGCCCAGGGAAAGAAGGTCCACAACGCTAAGTCGGACACTTTTCAGGTAAAAAGATTTATTGAAATAAAGATCGAACCTGAGTAGAAAGCTCCCGGGATGCAGCTGCTGGCACAGCCCCGCGCCCCTTGGCCGGAAAAGCGCAGGGCTCTGTGCCCCTCCCCCAGCACGCGTGGGAGGGGGGCCCTGCCCCACGGAGCCTGCCCTGAGGGCCTAGGGGTGGGGGTCTCTGCTCTCGGGGTCCAGGGGGTTCCTGCGAGTCACGGACACCACATGGAGGACAGACCCTCCAAGGGACACACACTTGCTTGGGGAGTGGAGTGGAGAGCTGGCATGTGGACCGACGGTCCAAGGAGCGGCCCAGGCCCCCCCGCGGACGGGCTTCTAGGTGCATGAGGCCGCCATGATCTGCTGGACGTAGCGGACGACGTTGCTGTGCAGCTGTGCGGCAGTGGCCGCGAAGGTCTCCTCCGCGAGGGCCCGGGCCGCTGGGCTGCCGGCCACCATCGCGTGGTACAGCGGGAGGGTGTACTTCTGCTTCCCCTGCAGGAGACGCACGCGGCCCATTCAGTCCCCCGGGGTCCGTCCCGGGGGCGGGGGAGGCGCCCCGAGGCCCCCCGCCAGGTGCCGGTGCCGCCCCCAACCCAGGGCAGGACAGGGACGCACACCCAACGCGCCCGGCGGCTCCACACGATCGGGAAGCCATCGGCGGTCGGCCCCCTGGTGCCCACAGGCCACAGAGGCTCCGCGCAAGGTCCGATGGCAGACGCCGGCCCGGGACCCCAGCAGGCACCCAGGCGAGTCCTCGCGTCCCCGGGACCCGGGACCCCGAGCGCGGCCTGGGGGCGCGGAGGGACGCCCACCTGGCTCTGCAGGAAGCCCTTCACTTTCCAGAAGTCCTCCTGGTGGTCGTTCTTGAGGACGACCTGGCCCCAGCGCAGCCGCAGCTCCGCGTTGTGGGCGCCTGAGATCTTGGGGTACGTCTCTCCCAGCTTCTTCACGTTCCCTGGGAAAGAAATGGGTTATCTGGCTGAAGAACTTTTTATTTTTCAACGGCAGCTGACACGCATCACCTTCCTTTCAGGAGCACGGCCCGGCAATCACACATTTGACGCAGACCAACAGACGCGGGAGCTGGGAGCGGCCGGCAGGGCCAGGGGACGGGGGTGGTGCCAGGCTCACGGCCCCCCCCGCCGCGCCCCCACGTGCCACCTCCGTCCCTCGCGAGGCATCGGGTCCATGGCCGCCCTCCCGGAGCCCTGGCCATCGCCCAGGGCACGTGTCCCGCTTCTTTCTCCGGGTCCCCCCAGCCTGGCACAGGGCTGTGCACCCAGGAGCCACACACGCCCAGCGGGACGCGGGGGTTACACCGCGTTCTCTCACCGGGCGGCAGGGGGGATTTCTGGAGGAGCTTGTCCAGGAAGTACACGAGCTGGTAGGTCTTCCAGGAGGAGATGTCTACAGCCTCGATGGCCTTCAGGTCCGGCTCCTCGGCCACCCACAGCTGGGCCAGCTCTTCCGCCGGCTTCATGAGCGAGTCCCCGGGGGACAGGTCCGGGAGGTACGGGGGCCAGCCCGGGGTATTCAGCCATCGGTCAAACTCAAAACCTGGGAAGAAGGCGCCTTCAGAGCCTCAGCAGCGCCCTGAGGCCTCTGCCCCCGACTTCCTGTCTCCGCCAAGTCCCACCAGCCTTGCACCCAGTGCCCGGAATCCACAAGGTCCCTCACGAGACATACAGACTGCGGCGGTCGGACAGCAGAGCCGCCGCTCCCAGTGAGCGCGGCCTGCTCCCTGTCAACAGCGGGCGGTCTCAGCCAGGTGGACAGGAGCGACCGCAGCCCGGGGCCCTGGCTCCACGGTCCGACCCAGCCACAGTGGCCGCCAGCTGGACGCCGGGGCTCGGCGCCTCCCCGCCCTGCACCTCTGCTCCATGCTGAGCAGGAGCAGCACCTATGCGCATCAGGAGCCAGGGCGCGGCCGGCCACCGCCCCTCGCTCTCTCAGCGACGGGGGCTCGCAGCCTCAGAACGCGGCCCGCGAGCCGGAGCCCTCGCGGCCAGGGAGGCTGCCCCCACCAAACCCGCACAGGTGACTCAGGGCTGGCGGCACGGAGGGGCGGTGCCCAGCGGGCCCTCGTCCCTGAAGGCGCAGGCTCCACTCTCCCGCACAGCAAGGAGGCGGCTCTGTGCTCCGGGGCAGGGCCGTGGCCTCCAGGCTGTGAGCCCGGGGTCCGGGCCCAAGGAAGCCGAGGAGGGTGAGGGCGGAGGCAGCGTTCTGTGGCCCGGTCCTGGGCCTGCTCCCAAGAGCCACCTGCTGGGGGACTTGGCCGCAGCGTCCCCCGGCCCCGGCTCGGCCCCCAGCGGCCCCTCTGCTCACCTGGAATGGAGTCCACTTTCCTTTGCTTCAGCTCGGGGAAGTACTCCAGGTAGAAGTCCAGGAGGTCTTCCGCCAAGATACTCTGGAACTTAAACTCACTGACATAGGCCTGCGAGGGGAGGTCTTCTCAGCGGGTGGCCCAGGGGCGGACGCCCTGCCCTGAGCTCTGCCACCCCGGCCCCGCCCCTCTCGCCCGTCCGAGCAGACGCTACCTTGAGAAACGCGTCAAACTGATCCTGATCGCCCACCAAGTGGGCCAGGTAGGAGACGAAGCAGAAGCCCTTCTCGTAGGGGGTCTCGTTGTAGGTGTCGTCCGGGTCCACGCCTGGCAGAGGACAGCAGACACTCGTCACCTCCGCGTGGCGCTCAGGCTCAGAGGCACCGGGTGACCACCGGAGGCCAGCTCGGCCGCCCCGGCCTCCCTCGGGGCCCTCAGAGGGGACCAGATGGGACGACGAGGCGCCAGCGCTCCGAGCCCCTCGCGCGGGCACAGGCTCGGCCTCTCCAGCCCGCGGCCACCGCGCACGCTGCCCGCCCGCCCCTCCCAGGACCCGGGCGTCGCAAGATGTCCTGGCCTCAAACAAGTCCCGTGTCTACGGGAAGTTCGTCCTCACAGCCCGCGGCCCCGAGGGCCGTGACCTTCAGGTCCGCATGGGGCCGGGGTCAGTCCCACGTGGCGCTGAGGGGACTTGGAGGTGAGAGAGGCACAGGGTGCGGGGAGCCACCCGACGGCTGGGCGCCCACTCAGGCCCCCGCAAGGTGAGGCTGGCGCCCAGTCCAGGAGCGCAGAGCAGCGGGCTGTCCCCGAAGACACGCAGCGCCGGGCGGACTGCGGCCTGGCTGCCGGCTTGGGTCCGCTCCGCCCCCCAGGGGTGCCCCCGAGCCCACCGCCCGCCGCGCACGTTGGGGGCAGGGGTGCCCGCCACAGGAGCCTCGAACCTGGCTCAATCTTCACGCGGAGCTTGTTCAGTGGGTTTTCCTCGCCGGTGACGTCCAGGTGCTGGCGCAGCAGGGCCCGCCCGGTGGCGGCTTCCAGGCAGGCATAGGCAGCCCCTGGGCAGGAGGACACCAGAGGCCCCGGGAAGGACGGTCAGCACCTCAAGCGCGCCGTCCGGGAGGCAGCGCCCCCTGGTGGCCACCAGGAGAATGACGGCAGGCACCCGCGCCCAGGAGCCGCCCCTTGTCCTCGGACACGTTCCTGCCCCATCAAGGCGTTTGTATTTTCAGAGACAGTACCTGGATCATCCATGAAAACTATCTTCACCTGACTCTACCCGTCTGATAAGAGAAACTGTCACCCCAAGTGTTTGTAAGGGCTCCACGCCTCCTGGCTCCGGAAGTGACTGCGGGAAGGGCAGGCAGCAGGGGCAGCAGGAAGGGCGGCGTGGGCCCTGGGCTCGTCCCTCACCCCTCCCTGCCTCCGCTTCTCGCCTGCACAGCACAGCGGCCACAGGGCCTACAAGGGCCTGCAGGGTCCCGCTGGCTACGAACTCACACGTGGCCCCTGCTGCCTATAACCTGGGAGGGAGCGTCAGGTCGCACAGACCCCGTGCGGGGCAGCGGACAGCATGCGCAGAAGCCCTTGCAGATGCTCAGATGCACGAGTTATGTCTCCGGGAAGTTATCTTTATGGAAAGCTGAAGTGTGCGTGCACACGTATATGCAGAGATGTTCATAAACATTCTATTTCCCTGGGGAACAGAAACATCATCTCTCACAGTGAAGGCGGAATGAACTCGGAAACATCCACCTACGCAGATGCAGAAAGAAGCTCGGTGACGCGGGAAAAGCTCCCGCTGATGGAGCTGAAAGCTGAGACTGAGGACTCACCCCCCGAAAACCATGAGAGGGCCCCCCGCGCGTCTCTGAACAGAGAGGTGGCAGGGGAACAGTCCCTGTGCCCCGCAGGTGCACCAGAGCAGACTCCGACCGGAGAAATAAGAAACAGGAAACACTGTCTTTTAAAGCGCCTGGCACGGGGCGGGGGGTTTCTGTGACGAGGCCGCCGGGAGGGCGTCTTACACGCACGCCTGGGCGCAATTCGAGGGCCCGCTCACCCACTCCGGGCCGGGCGCAGCCCCCTCCTCTGAGTCAGGGTGCCCCGCCCCCCTCGACAGGCCGCTGCGGAGCTGCTAACGGGGGAGTTTTTCTCGACACGCCCGGTGCGACGCTGGGGCATGAGTGTGCGGGCACCAGCAGTGATTTTAATGACGGACGATCCACCCAGAAAGCAGACCAGCCTCCCAGGCGGAGAGCCGGGGGCCGGTTCCCCCAGAGCAGCAGGCGCGGCTGCAGCCCCGCCTGGGAACCCCCCGCCCCGCCCCGTGCGCCGCTGCCTCCTCCGTCCCCCCCGCCCCGAGGACCCCGCAGCCCTCACCGAACAGGACCGTGGAGACCCGCCTCTGGGCATACATGGTGAAGCCTTCATTGAGCCAGAACTCGCTCCAGTTGGCGTTGGTGACCAGGTTCCCAAACCAGCTGTGGGAGATCTCGTGGATGATGACGTCTGCCAAGGAACGGTCCCCGGCCAGCAGGCAGGGTGTGACGAAGGTCAGGCAAGGGTTCTCCATCCCTCCGAACGGGAAGGATGGCGGCATGAAGAGCACGTCATACCTGGGGGAGGCGCGAGGTCACAGGCCGGCTCGGCCCCACCCCCGGCCCCACCCAGAGATGCGGGCACTGGACGGGCAGCCAAAGACCTGGCGGCCGGTGCTGAGGGGTCGCCAGGTGCCTCCGTCCCAGCCAACCCGCTGGGACTCCCTCCCCCTGGTTTGCTCTCCAAAACCCCCGTCCCCTGCTCTGCGTCCAAACGGCAGAGGCGGCCACTGGGGCCCACACAGAGTTGATGGAGACGTTTCTCCAAGGAGCCCACAGTCCGAAAACGCCACAGAGACCTGGGGGTGCGGCAGTGTCTGGCACCCAGAGGTGACTCAGCGAAGGTCCCGACCTCCCAGCTCAGCAGCCACCGGGCCAATTTCATCACTTCAGCAACTGCCACCGGGTCCCCCCTCAGCCCCAGGGAACTGGGCCCGTGCACGCCCCCCTCGGCCCCCGAGACAGGGGAGCTTCACTCAGGGAGGCGGGGGCGGGGGGGGGGGGCGGGAGACAAGGACCCAGGGACGTTACAGGCCGCGCGCGCCGCACCTGCCCCAAACGTAGGGTCCGAAAAGGCTCTCCCCCGTGGCCAGGAACTCCTCTATCACACCGTCGTACTCCTGCCTGGCAGCCTCGATCAGGCACGGCTCGGCCCACACCCGGCTCCTGGGGACCGGCACACAGACAAGGCTGTTCGTTCACAGGCCGCCGGGCCCGAGAGCCCCGGAGACAAGCGGCCTCAGTCTCCTGCTGGAGCCGAACGAATGGGACAGCGTGGCCGGGAGACACAAGGCCGGTCCCCGGGCGAGGACCGCGGGGAGGGGGGGACACAAGCAGGGCTGGGGGGTGCGGGGGACGAGGGACGAGGCTGCGCGGCGAGGCCTCAGGTCCCGCACGGGTCTGCGTTGCGTTTACGGGTATGAGGGACGGGAGCAGGTGAGGGCGGGGTGCCGCCACCGTCACACATCGGAGGGGTGACCAATGCTCGGCAGGGAGGAGACCGGGCTGTCCGCTCGCAGTGAGGGCTGGAGTTGGGGCAGGAAATGCACAGGACAGAGGCGTCCGAAGAGGTGGAGGAGAATGCGACAGGGACAGACAGAGGGGCCAGGCGGCAGGCAGGGCGCAGCCCAGGCCCGTGTCGGCTTATTTTCATTTCGCCTACTCCCCAGGGAACCAGGCCCGCGGGGGGCAGCGCGCGGTTCCCAGACGTCCCTGTCCCACAGCCGGGGATGGAGGGGGAGGGGAGTCAGGGGCGGGCGGGGACCGGGGCGGCTGTGCAGGTGACTGGCCGCACCCCCGGCCAGGCCAGGAGATCACGCCAGGGGAGGGGAGGTCACGCCAGGGGAGGGGAGGCAGGGAGGTCGGCAGGGCGGGGTCAGCTGTTTCAAGTTTCTGACAGGTCACAGGTCACAGTAAGGCCTGGCCTTCACTATCCACACTCCCGTCAGCTGCAAAGGTGACATTCCTTTGGTTGCCTTCCCTATCAGGGAGACAGCCCTTCCTGGAAGGGTGGCACCTTGTCCCACGGGGGCGGCTACTCTGAGTGTGTGCGGGACACAGACGCCCACAGGGTCCCACCGACTGTCCCCCAAGACCCTGGTGGGGAGACCGGTGATCCCGGCAGGGCTGGGCACCAGCGCTGAGGCCTGAGGCAGGTGACTGGCCCTGCCCGGCACCCCGCCGCCTCCAGGAACCGAGAGCAGGGCCAGAAATAGAGTCGGATGAAGGGCCAGCAACGGAGCCGGGGCCGCGCCCAAGCGCTGCCGTCCACCTTGACCCCGGCCGGGAGGAAGCTGCTCCGGCAGGCAGCGGGGCGGCCAGGAAGAGCCCGCGGCCCTGGCGGCGCTCTCGGGAAACCTCCCCAGGCCCGCGGCCGCCTCCCAACCACCCCACGTCCCGCCGCTCTCTGTGCCGCAGGTGCCTGCCTCTCGAAGGAAGCGCTGAGGTCACCTCCTCTGTTTCAGGAATCGAGTGTTGGAGGAAACAGGGAGGCAGCAGAGAGATAAGAAAGTGAATACAGTTGCCAGAAGGGAACTGAGAACACACAGAGGCTATAAAGATCAATCTTTAGACCTGCAGCCTAAGCCCCGCCCCGCTCCCCGGGGACCCGGGCGGGGCTGCCGACCCAGGGCCCAGGCTCCGTCCGCAGCAGCCCGGGTCAGGGACCGCCAGCCGGGCCTGCGGGGCCTTGCGCCTACCTGGGTCCCACCTCCGCGGAGGCCAGGTCTCCGATGGCCAGAGCAACGAGGTAGGAGGGGATGGGGTGGCTCATGTGGAAGAAGAACTGGTTTGGCCCCCGCGTCTCCCAGGTGTCTGCAGACATCACAGCCGTGAAGCCATCCGGGACCTGACAGCAGAGAAAGCTGAGGCGGCTTTGCCGGGGACCCGCCAGGCCTGAGCTCGGGCAGCAGGAGGACCAGCGACCCGCCCGGGGACCGCAGCGACCCCGAGTCCACCTGGTCCCCACCTGGATTCTTGGCTGCAAGAATCCAAACCTGCGCTAAGCTGACAGGCTTTAGCACAGAGGACGTATTTATTTGCTTTTTAAACTCTCCCCCGAGGATGCATTTAGTGATTTTAGAGAAGAGAGGCAGAGGGAGGGGAGAAACACCGATCAGTCGCCCCCACACCCCGCCCAGGACCGAACCCACAGCCTGTGGCGGATGGGGCGACACTCCAACCAGTGGAGCCACCGGCCAGGCCGCGCGAGCTTCTGCAGGCAGAGGGGTTTCTCCTGGATGGATGTCACCCTTCGCCAGCCCACGGGTCCACCTTCAGCCCCAGGGAGGCTCCGCCCCTTCCCTACCTCGATCAGGGCCGAGTAGGTGCACTTGACCGCGGGCGTGTCGAAGCAGGGGAAGAAGCCGCGGTTCAGGACCGCCTGCCCCTGGGTGTAGACAAAGGGCTTCTCCTTCCCTGCAGTCTGCTCAGGGGTCAGCCAGCAGACCTGAGGGACAGGCGTGTGATTCAGAGCGGACCCCGCGCGAGCCCCGCCGGGGACGAGGGGTGGCCCCGGAAACCCAGGGTCGCCCCCACCCGCGGCGCCCCCGTTCGGCGCGGCCCCTCTGCGTGCCATGGCGTGGCATCCGCTTCACGGCGCGGACACCTCCACGGGCCCGCCCCCACAGCAGACCTGGCCTCTGAGCCTGTCGCCCCGTCCTCCTCCTCAGTGGCTTCTCACCCAACAACGGAAGCCGAGGCGGCCGCAACGGAACTTGTGAGGAGACACCGAGCAGCAGCATCTGACGGGGAGGCGTCTGTGCACTGTGCGCCCCCCGACCCACACGCGCCCTTTCAGGGTGAACACAGGTCCCGCCCTGGGCACTGGCTGCGACCCTTCGCTGGGGAGCGGAACGGTTCCAGCGAAACTCAGTTCTCGCGTGACACAGACGCAGCGTGGAGGGAGGCGGACACGCCGGCACCGAGTGTCATCCAGAGTTCAGAAAAGGCCTGAATTCCAGGAAGCTGCACAGGGGAAGCAGCGCCCTGTGGCTGGGCCTGCGAAGCCAGCAGGATTTGGAGCCCGGGCAGGAGGGAGAAGCCGGCCCGGGGCTCCACGCGGAAAGGCGTGGACGGAAGCCAGCTCTGCGCCCCGAGGCCCTGGGGCCTGGTTTAAAGAGGCCTAAGGACGCCACCTGGGAATGTGGGGTTTTTTTTGTTGGTGTTTTTGTTTTGTGTGTGTGAAAATTTCAGTGCGTCTCCTTCCAGAAAGTCCAGCAGAGATGGAAAGCGGGGGGCTGAGCAAGGTCAGAGCGGAGAAGGGAGGCCACGCCGGCGCCGGGCGGTCTCTGGCCACGCTCACGCCACGCTCCCTTGATGCGATAGGATAGAGGGGACCTACCTTGTGAAATTCCAATTTGGCCGCAAACCTACAACTGCTCTAAAAAAATAGTCTATTTCCTGAAACCCAAACCCGCAAGCCCAGCCTCGCCAAGAGAAAACATCAGGCAAATTCCCATACAGGGTGCCCCCCCATACGCCTGACCAACACGCCCTAACGCTGTCAAGGTCACCAAAAACAAGGGAGCCTGGGAAACCATCACCGGCAAGCGCAGCCTAAGGGGACACTGTGGCACCGTGGGTGGGCTCCCAGCACAGAAAAAGACACTAAGTAAAAAAAAACAAACAGAGATCTGAGGCACCTACACACCGCAGCTAATAACAACGTAACAGTATGGGGCACCGACTGGGCCAAATGTATCATATTTGTAAAAAGCTCACAGGCCAAACTGGGTGGTGGGTGTATGGAAACCACAGCTGCTCAATTTTTCTGTTAACCTAAACTGCTGTACCAACAGGGACAACTCGCCGAACCTCTCTCAGGCAGTCAGGCCCGGCACATCGTCACAGACGTTGGGCCTCAGTTCTTACTGGTCATCTTTGCTGGCTTGTTGTTCAATGACACAGAGAAAAGTGAATGAAGGAGCAGGCGGTCCACACACTAGAGACAGAGCCTGCAGCTCAGGGGAGGCCCGGCCTTCGTGGCTGCGTGGGGGCCCTCGCAGGGACGGTGGCAAGAAGAAGAAGAAGAAGAAGGACAAGTGCCCCCGCGGAGACCTTTCGGGTGCCAAGGACGGTTCTTTGCAAAGTGTGGGTCTCTACCATTAAACGAAGGCCACTGGTATTTCGTTCTGATATTTAATTTCAGGTGCCACTTTCAATAGGCAAATTCAGGGGGACTTCATTCTTCTAGTTATCCTGTTTAAGTTCTGGTTCCTGCCAGAAACCCGGAGCCAGAAAACAAGAGCAACCGCACCCGATTCCGCAAGCGCTGCTATCGCTGCGGGTTTTCCCTTTGCCAGAGAGGTCAGTTTGCGTTGCTTTGGAATTCCATTTTTAAAACAGGTGCCATCATTGGGTTCATTTATTCCCTAAGTGGAGAAGGACAGAAACGGATCTGTCCTTTGAGCCAGTTCTAAACCAAAGGCAAAGGGCTGGGCAGGTTCACCCCACTCCAGCTCCCCGCGAGCCAGCCGCTGAAAACTCACTCCCCACACACTCTCGGAAAGACCTCTCTGCCTCCACGGGGGTTTTCTGGAGCCCACAGTCCTCCGCCCCCGAGTGACTGGTGGTCACCCTCTGGTGATCCCCGTTTACCCCCACATTTGAGCTTTGAGCCTTAGCGTTCGATCGGCGGGGAGAAGGCCACGTTATTATAAAGCCTCCGACTCTCTGACCCCTGCTCTGACCTTTACTGAAACTCTTCTCTTAATCAAAACCAGGACTTCATAGAAGCCACCAAATGTAACGATCTGGGTTCAGGGCTGTGGCAGCCGGTGGCAGGAAAGGCCCAGGTCAGCAGCGGGGCCAATTCACTGGCCGCCGTAAAGCAGACGTCACCTGGACTTGGGCATCAAAGTCCCCGAGCATCAAACGCAACTTAGAAAGAGTCCGTCCTGTGCGCCCAGTCGCAGAGGACGAAGTTCCCTCCCCGCAAAAGCGGAAACCAGACGCGCAGGGTCCTGGGAGGAGCTGAAACGAGGAACAATCTGGGCAGCTGACTGCAGCTGCGGGGCGGGGGGCGGTGCGGACGGACAGGCGGGAGCGACGCAAGGGCCGGGGCGCCCAGCCCGGCGAGGACGGGCCAGGGGCAGGAGAGGGAAGCCAGGCGGCCTGCCTGGAGGAAGCGGGGGGTGGAGAGCGGAGGGCGCACGGGGCTCCGGGCCCAGCACGCGAGCGCCCTGAACCTGCCCCTCGCCCCCCGTAGGGACGCCCGGGGACCCCTCCGCACTCACCGCGGGCCCCGCGCCGACGCGGTAGGTGAGCAGCACCTGGAAGCGCTCGCCCGCCGGCCGGGGCTGCGCGAAGCGCAGGCACAGCGCGCAGCCGTAGCGCGCGAAGGGCTGCGTTTGAAAGCTCACGGGCTCGTCGGGGCCGGGCGGCTGCCCCGGGCCGGGCGGGACGCGCCGCAGCGCCACCGCGGTGACCTCCAGGCTCGGGTGCGAGTCCAGCCGCAGCTCGGCCGCGCCCGCGGGCTCCAGGCAGCGCAGCTCCAGGGTGGCCGTGCCGCTCAGCGAGCGGCTCGCGAAGTCGGCCCGCAGGTCCAGGTGCAGGTGCAGCACCTCGAAGGCGCGGAAGTTGGACGCCGAGGCCACGTCCACGGCCCGCGCCGAGTGCAGCGCCCGCGGAGCCGCGCTGCTCGCCATGGTTCCGGCCGACTGCCGGGAAGCCGGGCAGCGGGGAAGCCGGGCGCAGCCCGAGCCGGCCCCGGCCCCGGCCCCGCCCCCAGCGCAGGCCGCGCCCCCAACGCAGGCCACGCCGAGCGTGCTGCGCGCGCAAGCGGCGGGGCGGGGGTGCCCCAAGCGAGGCCCCTCCCTGTCCCCGCCCTCGAGGAGGGCCCCGCCCCACCCCCAAGTCTGAGCCGGGACCACGCCCCTGCCCGGGCATTTTTCATTAAGAAGAAACAGTATTCTGGTATGTTTCCTAATTTTTTAAATAGTCTTCATTTTTTAATTTTTAAAACAGATTTTCTTTATTAATTTCTAGAGAGAAGGGAAAGGAAGGAGAAAGAGAGAAACATCCCTGAGTGGCTTCCTCTCCCACGCCCCCTGCTGGGGACCCGGCGCAGCCCAGGCACGTGCCCTGACCGGGAATCCAATCGGTCCGCAGGCGGCGCTCAGTCCACGGAGCCGTACCAGCCAGGTTTTAGTGGCATAGTGTTAAAATAGTTTTTACTTGATGAAATGCTTACTTTTTTAAAAGAAAATTCCATATACGGTCAGTTTCCCTCTCTTTTCCACTTTCCTGGTTACGAAACCCGCAAGCTGGAAAACCCCTCCCTGTGGCTCCTCACAGGCGCTCGCAGCTCGGCCTCAAAAACGCGCGGTCTCGGTGCGGCGCTGCGCGCACCTCGCACCGCGGCGGCGGCGCGCCTACCAGCCACGGGGCCCTGGGGACGCGCGCCCGTCCCAGGCTCCGCCCAGCCGGCTCGGAGCCCACGGGCCGGCCGGCGCCTCGGGCTGTGAATGGCCTGGGAGGACAGAGCGCTAGGGGAGCGCGAGGCGGGGGCGCCCGGCTGGTCTTCGCGGGGGCAGAAGGCCTTTCTCAGCGGCCGGTAACACGCTTCTGGAGCTCCGAGGTCTCCCCTTCTCGGGCGTCACCTTCTTCCCGGGAACACGGGTGGCCGCGCCGCATCACTCCCGCCGCACGTCCCACCGTCCGGTCACTGGCCCGCAGCCCGCCCAGGAGAACCTCCGCCGCCGCAGGTGGCCCTGCGACTACCGCCCGCCGCTTCCCCAGGTGGCTTCCGTCGTTACACTTTTGACGGCTCGGAATGTAACACATTCCGAAATAATGGCTGGACATCTTCCAGAATTGATGACAAGCATGAGTTCATCAATATTTCAGGTTACAAGATCAATATATAAAATCACCGATTGCATTTCTACTCAGTAATTGACAATAAAATTTGAAATTTGAAAAACACCATTTAAATAGCACTCACAACAATGAAATACTTAGGTTGAAATCTAACAAATATACAGGATCTTTGTGCTAAAAATGACGAAGCACTGATAAAAACTTACTGGCAATCCCAGTAAAAACCCCAGTAGGTGTTTCTGTATTTACCAACCAGCTCAGTGTAAACTTCACAGGGATGGGCAGAGGAACCTCAAGAGCCAGGGCAGCTGGGAGAGAGCTGAGCGAAGTCGGAGGAGTCACGACGCCCAAGTTCAAACCCCACGAGAAAGCCGCGGTGAACGCAGGCACACAGATCGACGGCCCCGAACAGAGCGCCCAGAAACAGACTCACACAGCTCGTTTTTGACAAAGGTGCAAAAAGTACCTGCAAATCACGTGTCTGACAAAGGACTTGCATCCACATATATAAAAGAACCCTCCAAACTGAAGAAAAAACAAATAACAGGCGAAAGGTTTGAGCAAACACTTTCCCAAAAAGAGAGAAAGACAGAAAACATGAAAAGACGCTGCACACCACTGGGCACAAGAGGTGCACATTAAAACCAGACCCACGACGCACCTAGAACGGCTCAATTAAAAAAAAAAAAAAACAGCAACAAAAACGGGTACCTAGTGCTGGGACGCAAACAGCCAGAATATTTGGGCAGTTTCTTCTGAAATAAAATACATACCTGCCTTATGACCACACAATCCTAGAGATTTACCAAGAAAATGAAAACACGTTCACACACAAGTCAGCCGCGAATTTGTGTGCAGCCGTTTTATCCAGAGCTGCCGAGACTGGAAGCCGCCCGCGCCCTTCAGCGGGCGGGGAAGGAAGGAGCGCGGCAGCGGAGCGGGGGCTGCCCAGCAGCGCGAGAACAGCCGCGGCACAGACGTTGCGGGGCCGGCCGGGGGCGCTTCGGCAAACGGAAGCAGCCAGGCCCGAGGCTCCGCGCTGGATGTGCCCACTGACGCTCTTGAGAGACAACCAGGAACAGGAAGCCCGCCCACCGCCGCCACGTGGAGGGGAGGGCAGGGGCGACTGTCAAGGGGCAGCCTGAGGCTATCTGGGGGTGACTCGCACTGCGGTGGTGCCGACCTGTCTGCACACATGTGTCAAACTCTGGAGAGGGCACAGCACACAGAGTGAACGAGATGAAACGCTAATTTTTCACAACCCCCCGGGATGCGGACAGACGGCGGAATGCGCACAGCAGCCAGGGACCGGCCTGTGTGACGCCTGGATCGCAGCAGCACACAGCAGGGCGGGGAGCGAGCGACCTCCGCGGCTCAGGCAATGTTTCGAGTAGATACTGACAAAGCCGAAGAAACCGGGTTCTCGAGCTGGCAAACCCGTTTCGCACAGAGGAGTGGTTCAGTGATGCTGTGATTACGCTCTGTGTCATTAGGGTTCAACAAATAAGCCAGTGACTGTAGATGATGAACAAATAAGCCCCCTGGCGTAGACGAGAGTCAGGTTTCTGTGGTTACGCGTGAGAGCCCGCAGGCTCGAAGGGGCCCCGGGGGAAGCGGAGTGAGGTCACGCGCCCCTGCAGGCTTCTCCGCGCAAAGGCACCAGCCGCAGCGGCAGCTGTGAGCACCCCCGGTTCCGGTCTCTCTGTGGCAGTCCCCAAGGAAAGGCACTAGGGCTCCTCGGAGAGCTGGCTCCAGGGCGGGTCAGGGAACCCGACCAGGGCAGCCAGCGCGCCCCGTACGCAGGCGGAACGACATGTGAAAACCCAGTTTTCCCCAGGAAGCAGTGCGGAGGGCCCGAGGGCCCCGTGCGAAGAGCTCGCGGCGGCTGCAGTTACACGGGCTGGGCGCACACACGCCCCAGTGCTGGATTCCACCCCGAAGGTAAAACGCGTTCCGGTGAGTCCGTGCTAATATAAATAAGGGAGTAATCAAGTAAACCAACAAGTGGTTCCAACTCAGCCACAGGAAAGGAATGAGGAAAATAGAAAACCGCCCTTAGACCACCACATGCCCAAGTCAGGGGGCAAAAACTCAAGCAAAAGCGTCTTATCTGCATCTGCGTAGTTTCCAGGTATTTCCCTCTAGACAGTAACTCGAAAAGGGAAAAAATAGGGCTCTCCCAGCAGAGAAAGCCAGCAGACACCTCCTTAGCGAGGGGTCACGGTCGATGGCCCCTGCGGCAGACAGACCCCGTCTCCCCAGGTGACCCAGAGACGCGCCATCCTTCCCAGAACGCGCAACCTCAGGAGAAAACGTCAACCCCACACTGAGGGCATCTTCGGAAGAACAGCTCCCTGCTCCTCAAAAGCACCCCCGTTGCCGACAAGGAGAGGCTGAGAACCCATCACAGGCTGGAGGAAACGGAGGCGCCACGACGTGGGCCGTGCGATCGATCCCGAAGCAGAAAAGCGCGTTAGAAAAACCTGTGAGACTCGGGTGACGGCCGTTCAGTGGGAGTGACCCACTGCGTGTCCCCGTGGCGAGCACTGTTTCACGGGGTGAGGTGTTAACGAAGGGGGAGCTGGGTGAGAGGCGTAACTGAAACCACTCTGGCGACTTTTCTGTAAATACAGTCACCTCAACATTCAGTGAACCCAAAATTGAACACATGGACAGGCTGAGCGGCGCACTCCGGATGACAGCGACTGCTCGCGGGGAGGCGGCGGGCAGAGTCGCAGTTCGCACAGGCTTCCCTGCAGGGGGGGCGTTGCTTTCTTCCTTTGGGTGGACGGCCTGTGGGTGCCACTGAGCTCCGTTGGCAGGGCCATCACTCACGGCGGCTTTGTTGAAAGTCGCAGGCCGCCCGGACACCGCCCCTCAGCGGTGGTTGCCCGCCGGTCACCAGAGGTGGGCCCCGAGCGCAGGACCCGGTTCCAGCGCCACCAGCGCCCCCGCCTGTCCTGCCCTCCCGGGTTGGCTGCATTGAGCCGCTGTCGCCGCCACCTGGTGCTGCTGCTGTAGCAAGAAGGCAGCCGGACGGCTGCGCCTGACCGGGTGCGGCTGCTCAGAGCTGCTGACCCGCGCACGGTGCGGGGCGGCACGGGGCTCGGACGGTGAGTCCTCACTAACCTAATGGGCCTCAGGGGGAGCTACGAGCACACGGGACGCTCGGCAGGCGTCCCCTCTGTGACACAGAAGCACCCCGAACCCCAGGGCAGCGGGCCCACCGCTCCAAACCCGACCCGGAAACGCGCTCCGCGCCCGCTCCCACACAGCCTGAGACACCCCGGGGAACGGGGAGCGGGCAGGAGCCCCGACGGGCGTTCCGGCCGTGAGGCTGCGGAGCCAGCGCCGGGACCCCAGGAGGGTCCCAGGGAGACGCGGCCTCCTGCCTGCCCGCTTTTCCAGTTACTTCCTTTGGTAATTCAAACAACTGGGTCATTTTACCTTTTATTCTGGGCTCTACTCTAGCATAGCACAATCAGTTTTAAAATATTTGTAAAGCATTTTAAATTAGCATTTTAAGGAAATATTAGACTCTAAGCCATCTGGTTTTCTATTGTTGCTAAACTTAAACTCAGTGGAATCTAAGTGGTGGGTTATGAGTGTTCTCAGTAAAGCTCAACTTTGCAGGTTGAAATTTTCATTGAAAAGAAAAGGAGAGAAACAGCACAGCACAGCCCCCAGGCCCCCCGCCGCTGCTGTGCGGCGCAGGGCGGGGAGGAGCCTGGTGCCGGGAGCCGCGTCTCCACACGGCACTCGCTTCCAGCGCGAGGGGCCGGACCGAGCACGCAACTTCCCCGGACTCGGCGCCACCGGATGGGCTCGAGGACAGCCCAAGGACCAACGTGGAGTCCATGTCTTATCTTAAGAGAAGGAGCAGGCTCCAGGAGTTTTATTGTTTGACTAGCAGAACACACAGCCGGGCGGCAGCCCCGAGCAAGGACGGCCGGTCTCCGCTGTCGGCCTGCGGTCCCCCGTCTTCTCGGCACCGGCCGTTTTCCTTCAAGACGGTGCCATTTGCTCTGATCGTAAATGCAACCCACAGGCGAATAAATAAGTGGATTCTCTTTCGAGACCCCCGCCCCACGCTCCTTTAAATAGAAAAAGTGCTAATGTCTCTTGGCAGCCCGTGCGGCCACAGCTGTCCCACCGATGGCTTAGAAACAGCCTGCAGCGCGATGGTCCGCGCTCCCGACTCCCGCGCGCCCTGCCGGGGACGCCCTACTGGTACTGCCGGTAGTCTCCGAAAGGCGAGGCTGGCAGCTGGGCTGGAGGGAGCTGCGAGGGGTCTTCGGCAAACTGAGGACCTGCGGGTAAGAGGAAAGAACTTTAAAACCCACCCGAATCTCATGAATTTAAGACCAAATCTCTGTAGAAAGCAGAGCAGTCAACTCGGGGAAAAAGCTGCGGCCACTGGAGCTGTACCCTGAACTTCCCTACAAACCTGCCCAACTCCTGCGCGAACCCCTGCAACTCGCTGTGAGTGGGGCGCCCCTCGTGCGCCAGAGTCAACAGCGCTGACGCGGTAAAAGCCAGTTAGAAAGCGGCCAGCGTGACCGAGCCGGAGCTCTGAAGCGACGGCTGGGGACAGGGGCGCGAGGGGCTGTCCCCGAACCATCCCGCTGGCCCCCGACGAGCAGGGCGCAGGAACCTGCCCGGAAGACACGGACGCGCCCGTGAGGCGCCTCGGGGAAACCCAATCAAACTGGGAGCCACGATCTACGCCCGGCTCGGTGCCGCAAATAACCCCCGGTGCGTCTCGCTGCTCTGCACCCCGCCTCCCCAGGGGCCAGGGCCGGGTCCCGCCGCTCCCACCCTGCGTCCGACGTCCAGAGCATCCTCACCGAGCCGCCGAGCTGTCTACAGCCGCAAGGAGCCGCACGAGGGAACGCGGAGCGCTCCCCCCAGGACGGCACCGGGACCGCTGGGCACGCAGCAGACCTTGCCCCCGTTTTCCCGGGTGCGAGGGACGACAGGCAGCGGAAGCCCATTGGCTGAGAACCTTAAGTGACCCTCCTCTCCCAAAAGGAGTCACCTCCCACCGCTCTCCAAGCAAGAGATGCAGGGCGCCACATCCGGCCATTTGCTGCTGGTCTGCTTCCCCACAGAGGCAGGTTCTCCTCCACGGCCGCGTCCCCAGCTCCTGAGCAGCACCCGGCCCCTGAGGGGATGCCACCCGCTGCTGACAGACCACCACCCTCCTCACGCCTCTCCAAGGGCCTCCCTCGCAGCACCTCTGGAACAGCAGCTGCTTCTCCGAGCGAGCGGGCCGGCCCGTGAGCCTGAGAGCTCTGGGGGCGAGGAGCCGCGCTGGACCGGTGCCCTCTGGCGACGGGGCCGGCCCCGACCGAGCCCACACCCAGCTCCTCGGGCGGAACCGGCACCGGCTGTGATCCGCACGGCACAGCATGTTAATTGGGAAGCGCACCACGGGCCACCGTGGGAGCAGACGACCCGCACCCCCTTTACGCGCCGCAGATCACAGGCAGCGGACAGACTCACCATTGGGGAACTGCGCAGAGGCAAACCTCGTCAGCAAGATGCCGGCCCCTTCGATTAGCGCCAGGAGGATGCCGCCCATCGCGGCCGAGCCGACCATGGCCACCGGTCCATCTGGGCGGGGCGAGCACAGGGACCATGTTAGCAAAACCCGGCTCGAGGCCGGCGTAGTCAGGATGGAGCCGCCCGCTGCCACGTCCCGCCGCCTTTCCAAACCCTCTTTCTCACTGGCGAGACCAGGGGCCGGCGAACGGCGGCCCCCGAGTCACACCCGGCTCACTGCCTGCTCCTGCCAGCAAGGCCCGCCAGGACGGCCGCCCCTGCTGCAGCGGCTGAGCTGAGGCGCCGTGACAGGGCCGCCAACCCACAAAGCCCAAAGCACGTGCTCCCCGGCGCCTTACAAAAGGTGCGCCGGCTCCCAGCCTCAGCGGCCAGGCCCAAAGGAACGCGGGGGTGCCCCTGTCCCAGAGACCTAGACGGTGGCTCGGTGCACTCTATCCACGCCGCCCCTCCCCCTGCCGTCGGACGGCTCAACGATTATCCCCAGAGGCCTGCGGAGGGCGCCCCGCAGACCTGGGGCCTACGAGCTCTCGCGGGCAGCACAAGCTTAGAGCTCTGCGCTCCTTCCCAAGCCCCCTAACGGGTCCTGCTGCCCTCCCGCCGCCACCAGCACCGGGCTGTCCCGAAGTAAGCAACACCGCGCTGTGCGCATCCCGGCGTCCACAAGCCAGGACAGACGAGGGGCCCGCGAGCCCGGCCTGCGCCCCGGCGAGCACTCACTTCTGGCGGCCAGGATGGCTCCCGTGAGGGCCCCACTCGTGATGGAGTTCCAAGGGTCCTCCTTCCCACGGACCTGAACCAGGCTGCAGTCGATCATAGAGAACAGGCCTCCCCAGACGGCAAAGCTCCCTGTTTCATTTAGGGACAGAACAACGCATAGTTTAGTTTTTCGTCTCACGCTTAAAATGTCATCAAAAAAAAAGAAGTTTAAACAACGCTCAACGTGTTCTTAGAACACTCACACTCCAAACAAACGTGGGCAAAAAGGAGTCTGAGCAAACGCTGAAGAGAAGCCGGGAGGAGGCTCCCCGTGTGCCTGGGCTGTGTCCCACTGGCTGAGAAAGTCAAGGCGCAGCCGGCCTGCGGCCTCGGGCCAAGGGCGGCCGACGGCCCCTCCAGGCACTGGGCCTCCACGGACGGAGCAGCGGGCGCGGCCGCCCCCATCTGCCCTGTCCTTCTGGGCGTCGCGGGGTGCCCGCTCACATGAACCCTGCCGGGAGCAGGGGAGGCCCAGCCTTCCTGGGGCCTGTCTCGGGGCGAGCCCCTGGGGGCCTGCGGGCATGAGGGCACAGCGAGAAGGACGGGGCGCTGCAGGCACGGGAACCGCTGCTCCTTCTCCTTCTGCCCTTTAGTCCTCTAACACGGAACCGAAACCACCCAGGATTGGACCACTTTGCTCCTAAAACAGACTCTCCCTAAACGCCAGAAGCCGCCGCGTTCCTACCTCCCAGCTGCGGGGCCCGGGTTTTGATGGCTGTCAAACTCCCTCGCAGTCTGTGGTTCACGCCCTGCAAGAGAGCAAACAGAACGGCATCGCAAGCGCGATCCGGTTCCACCAGTGACGGCCGCCCCCGACGCGGGCACCCCCGGCCTCCCGCGCTGGCACACGGGGTGCCCACTCACCACGGGAGAGTTGCGGAAGCCCTTGACGGCCTGGAAGACACCGCCCCCGATGGTGCCCATGGTGAAGGCGCCGCCACAGTCATCCACGATTCGCCAGGGGCTGCGAGCAGAGAGGGGGGAGAGGCCTGCCTTCTCACTCACAGGCCACAAAGCCCCGCTGCCACAGTGGGGGACACGGCAGGCTCCCACGCAGGGCCCTCCGCGGCCCACGCGTGGCCCACAACACGCAGACAGAGGTGACGGACCGAGCGCAGCCCCTGCGTCCGGCCCCGGGGCGCTGGCGGGGGGGGAAGGGGCCTGGCGTCCGCTCCGTCCCGCTAACACCCCGCTCGCCCGCTCGCCGAGACGGCCAGCAGGCAAGAGCATAAACGAGCCTGGGGCGTTACACTGTCACGCAGGACGCTGCCGTCTCCCCGGGACCAAGGCGAGCGGTCCGGGCGCAGGAAAATCTAAACCCTAACGAATGAAGACTTAACGAAGATGCAATAGGTGCAAAGGAAGACAAAATTTTAAATTTTTTCAAGTCTGAAGTCCTTTCTGGGTTTATTAAATTCAAGTCAAGGGTCCGAACTTGAGTTGGTATCTATCTGATCCACCTAACACACTGGCGGAACCTAACAGCTGGGAACGAAGGGTTAAACCTGTGAACCGCACCTCCACACGCGGCGCCCTAACTCACGCAACACGCCAGCGCCTGAGGAAGCTGACCGGCAGGCAAGCGCTGCTCCCCAGGGATCTGTCTATCGGAAGCCTGAACACTCCAGTTCACTTTCAGCCCATTATAAACACCAGGTTTTTCTTTCATTGGGTCTCGGGCCGAACGCTCTGACGAGCTAAGGGCAACCCGCCTGCTCAGGTAAACCCGTGAACTCGGTGTGTTCACGCCGCTGGGGAATCTAAATAATGAGCAATTTCCGATTTTGCAGACGGAGACCTTGCAGTCAACACACCACACCCTTTTCCAGGACCGTGCAGCGCAGGACCTGACCCACGAGGACCGCGGGAGGCCCGCCGCAGCGCGGCCCAGGGCCTGCCGCTGGTCCTGAGAGCACAGCCGGCACCGCCGGGCTCCCGAGAGACACTTTCTGCTCAGAGTCTACAGGCGACTGACTCCACTTTAGGAGTTTGGAAACCAGTGCCATTTCCTTTAAAAGATAGACATTCGCAAAGAGGAGAGAGAAGAACAAATTGGCAGCGCCCTCGGAGTGCTGGGCCAGTAACTGGAAGCGATCTCTCAGGGCGCTGGAGCCGGAGGGAACGAGCAGCCGCAAGTCAGTGAAGAGCAGCAGCGGGCCTCCGATCAGAGCCTCCGATCAGAGCCTCCGATCAGAGCCTCCGATCAGAGCGCGGCGCGGCGCGGCACCAGGAGGACGCCCAGAGCACAGCAGGGCGGATGCCCCCGGGCTGGGTGCGGCCTCCTCAGAACGCTCCTGGCGGGGCTGCTCCTGGCGGGGCTGCTCCTGGCCGGGCTACACGAGAGGCTGAAGCCCGAGTCCCCCGAGTCCCACGGAAGGAAATGCCAGACCAGCATGGCTCACAGAGCTCCACTAACAGGAACAAAGTCACAAGCTACCATTTGTCAAGTACCCACGGCTTGAGGTGCCTTCTAATAATGCACATGAAGCCAAAGCCTAGGATTTCCAAGAAAGCTAGGTCATCTTCCCCTAGAATACCTACTCTTTTAAGTGTGCGAGATCATTTGCCTCCTCTCCACTGTACCGATAAATAAAGGCTCAGAAATCAAGTAACTTGCTGAAGAAGCAACTAGAGAACCAACTTAAATACAAAATGTAGTACGGCAAAGCCCCCAAATTCTTTCCGCTGGACCCTACAAAGGATTTTTTTTTTTTAACGCCAAAAGAAAACACTTAGGATGATTAAGTCCATACAATGTTATAAAAAGGACCGGAGGTAAGGAAAGCAGTTAGGAAGCTACTGTGAAAGGCGTGAAGGACACCAGGTAAGATCCTGGCGACGGGGACTGAAAGCCACAAGTCCGGGACGACTCCAGGCTGCACAAGGCGGGGGAGGGTGCGCAGGCAGAACAACGGGCTCAGTCGGTTGGGCCTGGATGGAAAGTGCTCTTACCAAAGAGGGCGGCCCAGAAGGTCAAAGCAGTTTTGGCTACAGAGCTGACCAGACACTGACTGTATTGCTTCAAAACGTGGGTACCAAAAGGAAGCAAAGGGGCCCCCTAATGAAGCAGATGAAAACTCATTATTCTTGTGACATTTTATTTGCATTTACTGGGATGACATTGGCTAATAAAATTATACAGGTTTCAGGTGCACAACTCTATAGCACACACCACCTTTACACTGTCTTTCCGGCTCGCCACCCCAAGTCAAGTCTCCTTCCATCACCGTTTATCCCCCCTTTACCTCTTCCACCTCCCCCCACCTCCCCTCCCCTCCGGGAACTCCCCCGCCCCCACTGTCTGTGTCTGTGAGGTTTATTTTGCTTAATCCCTTCACCCTTTTCACCCAGCCCCCACCCTCCTCCTCTCTGCTGGCTGTCTGTTCCCTGTAACTATGAGTCTGTTCTTGTAACATCTTTAACTCAAAAAAGTTACATGATTTATCCTCTTGCCACCTTGGGTCATTACATCATGTTTTAACAGCAACTGAGAGCAGTCTGCGGATCTGAGCACAATCCCGGACCGGGGATAAATCACCTCCCAAGAAGGATATTTTAAAGAACTGGGAGGTGCTGAAACAGGTACCCCGCACCCCATTTCCAGGGACGGCGTGGGGGTGCGGAGCATTACTGCGGGCGCCTTCATAACTTGAAGACACCTTGGTGTCTGCCGACACAATAAAAAAAGTGATTAACCCAAATAACGAGGTCCGATTTTTACCAGCAGCCTTAAAGTCGGGGCACCTGAGCCCTGACAGTAAGCCTGCCCTTTACCATTGCCCTTTGCCTGTCTGCGTGCCTGACTTACTCACGCTTCTACTGCTTGAACCTAACGAAATGCTGAGCTCAGAGCCCTCGCTCAGTAAACGCTCAACGAGCGAGTGAACCGACTCCTGTTCACGGCTCCGGAGAGCACGACCCCCAGGTAACTTCTGCCTCCCTGTCCCCCAGAACTCCGAGCACGCAAACGAGGCCTGCCTACAGGAGCTCACCCAGAAGCTCACCCTTCGTAAAATCGATGCCCACTCGTTTGAGACGCTCCGCCATGCGGACGCGCACCACGACACGAACGCCGCGGGAAGGGCACTCGCGAGGTCTGGCTTCACTTCCTCGACGCGGGCAATGACTGACCCGAACAAGGTCGGGGGGCTGGAGCAGATCCAAGGCTCCTCCAAGCCCAAACCTGGACCTCTCACCATCCACCGCAAGGTCACGGGGGGCTGGGTGCGGCCGGCCCGCGCCGGGGAGCCGACGGGCCGCTGCAGCCCGCGCTGCCCACAGTCACCGCACCCGCGTCGACGACCTCGGAGGCTGGAGACAGAGGAGGATGAGGGCAGACGGGCAGGAGCAAAGGGAGGACGCCGCTCATACTCACCACGGCTCCCGCGCGTACTCCTCCATCTTTACCCCAGCGCGCGAGCGAGGCCGGGAGAGCGGGGCGGGGCCTGACCCGGAGGCGGAAGTAATCCAAGAAAGGGACAAATCTGTGGGGATTGGCTCACTGCTTCCGCCCACAGCCAATGGGAGCCCGGTAGCGTGAGCCTGACCCCGCCCCGGCCCTCTCGGGGGTGGGTCCGGCAGCGGGCGGGGGCCGCAGGCGGCGAGGGGTTCCGGTTGCCAGTCGGGGAGGCGTGGTGTCCCGACAGGAACCTAGTGTCGCCCTGCCCCTCTGGGGCTCCCGAACTCCTCAGAGACGTTCCCCCTCCTTGGTACTTTGGGCTCCGAATTGATGCCGCCCAGCTCGAGAGAACTGAGACGCTCTCAGCGACGACACGCCGCCCTTGCGTCCCGGAGCCGGGGATGTGGCGGGGGTCTCGCGTGAGCGGGCGCGGGGCCCAGCGACCTCAGCCTCCCTCCAACGTCCCCGGAGGATCCCAGCCGCTCCAGTCCGGGCCGCACTCAGGAGCGCACTCCAGGTTCTCCCGGACCGACTCCGGGTGTAACTGCCGCGCCCGCCCCCCACCTCTCTGGTGGACAGGAACGGTCCGCGGGCACCGACGCGGCATTCCTACGGGAAGCAGCTGGAGAACGGGACGTGTTACAGGGAACTCATCGGGAAGGGGACACACTCGCTGCACGGTTCGTGTTGTCGATACCGTGGGCTCCGCCATCGGGAGGCATCGCCTCCCACGACGCGTCCGTCAATGTCCCCTTAGAGGGATGTGCTAGAAAACCAACCGTCAGTGACTGAGCACCAGGAGTCCCTCTTCCCACCCACGGGGGGCGGGGCGTGGACGTTTGGGACTCCGCCTGTGCGGAGGTGGTTCTCGTGCCCTGGAGGTCCGTGGTCCCAGAGGCTCTGCGGGCCGGAGAGCCCCACCACAGGCCATGACTGTGGCTCCAGACCCCGGTCCCCCCTGGGCCACTCACCCGATTGTCGTGGATGAGCAAGGCTCACCCCACAGCCAGCTCTAGGGTCTGGGGCTCCACTCTGAGCCTGGGGCTGTTGCCGGCAGGGAGTTTGGCCCCGGGCGGGGCGGGGCGGGGAGCAATCTCTCCTCTCTTCTGCCGGCTTCACTCTGCTTTCCAGCCCTGCGGGAGGACGCCCGCGGGCCTGTGCCGGGCCTCAGAGCTCTCTGCCCGTTTCCACTCTTCCAGGAGGCTGGGCGCAGCGGCTCTCCAGGAAAGCTTCCCGCCGCCCCCTCCCAGGAAGGGAACCAGAGGGATCACATACCCAGAGCTGGGGGGGGCCTGGTGCTGTGTTCCACACGGAGCACTTGCTACTCCATCCGCCTGTTCGATGCCTCCACACCCCTGGGGAGTAGGTCCTTCTTTTCTCTAGGTAGGAACTGGTAACATCCTCGCTGCCGGTTACCTAAGACACAGGGGCTCCCTGCGGTGCTCAAGGTCGCGCACCTCAGATCTGAGTCCATGTCATTTGACTCCAGAGCCTGTGGCCTTACCTGCCGCCTACATTCCTGAAAATGTGACTTTCCTGGGGCATTTAGCTCAACTGAGAACCACCCTAAGCAGTAGTTACACGGTTCTAGTCCCTCCCCCTGCACAGGCGGTGCGGTCTGGCTGGAGTGTGAGGTCCCTCCCCTCCCTTCATTGTGTGCTTCTTTCTGGGGAGCGGGCCGCGCCAGCAGCCCCTGACCCCCAGCATGACCTGGTTTTCGGCAGAAGTGGAGTCTGAGCTTGCATGACCTTTGCCCCTCCCGGCAGGGGCTGGGGGAGGCCGTACCCCAGGCTTGGGGCTCCTGAATCGTCCATCCCCACTGTGCTGCCTTTGGAGGCAAGACTTTGAGAGTCTGGGAGCCGTGGCGGGAGCCCTGGGGTCCGAGGCAGCGAAGGCTTCAGGCTGAGTCAGACCGGAGGGGCCCGCTGCCGGACACCGCAGTGTCAGGCAGAGGAGATACGGGGGCGGGGGGGGCGGGGTTCTGGCAGAGACACATGGTTGAGTCCGGTCCTTTCAGTCTGGGAGCTGGGGGCTTCTTTTTGAGTGCGTCCCTAGAGCAGGGACCACCGGAACCAAAAGACACAAGGGAAGCCAGGTGGTGTAGGGGCCACAGGTGGGTATTGGGGGAGAGCCAGGCCCTGACTCCTCTTCAGGAGGAGAGACTGTTTTAGGCAGAAAGCCTGAGAAAGAAGAGTCCAGGAGGCTGGAGGGAGAGCTGTTCTCAGCTGCAAAGGAACCAGAGGTTGGCCGAGGCGGCTCCAGAGCCAGGGACTGGGAAGGCGATGCCTCTCCTGGGAAGCTCCTTTGGGCCAAAGAGGCCGGAGGAGGGGCAGGAGCAGGGGTGCGGTGGGCGGGGGTGCCGTCCCCACAGCGTGTGGGAGCCCACGCGGCCAGCTCCCCACAGAACCCCTGTGCCTCTGGTCGGGGCTCTTACCGATTGCTTCTGCGCCTCCCGCTCCACTTGGACATTTAGTATCATTTTTTACCCCATTGGATTATACGTTTAAAAGACAATAACCGCGCTGTCCTTATTTTTGCATCCCTTTCCCCGCAGTGTGTGGCAGGGCGCTGCGTACCCACAGCAGCGTCTGAATAGGAGCGGGCGCCAGGTGAGAAGGCAGGTGCGTGCACGGAGGGCGGTTGCTGCGGAAGGGCAGAGGGAGACAGAGAGGAGGCGGGGCCGGGGCAGAGGGGCCGGGAGGAGAGCAGAGAGAGATAATGGGAGCGACTGCTGATGGCTATTGAGCGGCCACCTAAGTCAGGCAAAGCAACTAAGCGCTTCATGTGAATGTTCACATTTAACGTTCGTAACAGTCACGCCAGGTCGGTGTGCCTGCTGCTCGGACTTTACAGCCAGGGAAGCCGAGTCTCAGAGAAGAAGGCGCCCGGCCCAGAGCCGCGCAGCTGCGCAAGGAGGAGCCAACACAGGTCCGTTGGCCCGGAGAGCGCGCTTTTGTGTTTTACTGTGTTAAGACTGGAATGTAAGATCGCACATACTTCAGGTGAACGGCATCCTAATTCGATGTTTGACCACACCACACAGCGCTCAGCACCCGTCAGCAAGCGGGGGGTCCCGTCTCCCATTCCACCCCCCCGCCCCCACCACGGCGCGCCCTGCCTGCCGTCTGTTCCCCGCATCCCCACATTGGGCGGGTTTGGTTTCGGGTTCCACGTGTGCGATCACACACGCTCGTCTCTGAGAGCACGTCCCGCTCGCCAGCCTCCCCTGCGGTTTCCGCACAGCCCCGGGCAGACTTTTAGGTTTTGAGGACTTATTTGAAGTTGTTGGTTGATGAGGTGTCACCATTGTCAGCTTGGAAGCCCCAAGGCGGCAGGCCACGCCGGCTTTCTGTCTTGGGTTGCAGCCCTGGCTCTCAGAACAGGGCCTGACACGCAGTAACTCATGCTTCCGGCCTCACGGACGCGCTGCCTGCGCCCCAGGACGCTGGAGGCCCTCCTCCCGCGCCTCCCCCAGGGCGCCCTGCCTCCCTCTGCCCCGCAGTCTGCCCGGCAGCGCCCACCCCTCCACGGCCTCCCCCGGCTGGGCTGCGGGTGTGAGGAGCAGGGCCAAGGCCTGTCCCAGACGGTCCCTGGGCTCCACAAGCACCTATCAAGTGACTGTGCCTCTGGCTCGGGGTGGACAGACGCCAGGAAAGATCGAAGCATCCACCCCGATGGGTTACACCAGGGCTTCTCGGAGCGACTCAGTGGCAGGAGGGCGGGCCAGGGGATTGAATGTCTTGTGACTGAGCGTGGCGTGACAGGCCGGCGGTGGAAGGCCCTTCCATGGCCCACGCCAGGCCTGTTGCGACAGGTCCCTCCCAGCAGCCAGAGTTCTGTCTCCCCGAAGGCCCGGGAGCCGTGCTCTGGACGTGGACGCGGGCGGCCACCTGCCGGCCCCCCCTCGGTGCGCGTGCTCGGGCCCCCGTCTGTCACAGGGAGACGCAGATGGGAGGGCGGGCGGCGGGCTCCAACGCCCTTCCCCAGGGCCTGGAGCTTCGTGGGAACCGGCGGCCCTTCAGGCCTTTCCTGACTGTGCAGCCCGCCTCCTTCCCCAAACAGCCCACCGTCCTCAGCTCCAGAAAGTGGCCCAAGGCGGAGGCGCGGCCCTGCTCAGCACAGGCCCTGCTGGCAGGGTCCTCACCGGCATGTTTCCCGGGGCTGCGAATGGCTGGGAGCACCCCCGCCCCCACCACAGGGCCAAACACGGGGAAGGGGTCAGTGGCCACACACCAACCCCGGGACGTCCAGGCGGCCAAGCCCAGGCTGCGGGGGGGTGGGGAGGGGGAACTGTGCCCTGGAGCCGCCCGGCCCACGGCCCACGGCCCGGCCGCTCCCCTGGCTCCCCTGGCTCCGCTCGGCTCCGCCGGCCTCTGCGTTTCTGCATCTTTTTCTCATTGCGTGGCCCCCTTGTCTTTAAAAGGCTAAATGCTCTGTACTAAATTTGGTCACACAACGCTCCAAGATTCCCTGGAATGTCCTCAAGTTTCAAACCGCTCTGACAGCGAGGCGAGCCCGCCCCCGCTGGGGGATTGGCCTCTCCGTTCGGGGCCGGGCAGCTGCTCGGTCTTATTGGCCGCCAGGCCGACCGGCCAGGCCCACTAGCCCCGCGCCTGGGGACGCGGCCGCTCCCAGTCAACAGTCCAGCACCTGCGGCGCAGGGCCCGGGAGCCCGTCCTCAGCAGCGGGGGTCTGCTCCCAAGCCTGCTCCACCGCCAAGCCCGCTCCGCCGCGTCCAGGCCAGCCCCGCCTCCCCGCCTCGGCCGCCACGACCGCCGCCGCCCCTGCCAGAGCCGCAGCCGCTTTGCCAAGATGTCCAAGGTAGCCAAGTACCGCCGGCAGGTGAGCGAGGACCCGGACATCGACAGCCTGCTGTCCACCCTGTCCCCCGAGGAGATGGAGGAGCTGGAGAAGGAGCTGGACGTGGCGGACCCCGACCGCAGCCTCCCGGCAGGGCTGCGGCAGCGCAACCAGACGGAGAAGCCGTCCACGGGCGCCTGCAGCCGGGACACCATGCTCAGCTTCCGCGAAAAGGAGACCAAGAAACTTCTGCAGAGGGAGCTGTCCCTGGATGTGAGTGAGCGGAGCTGGGGGGGCGAGGGGCCAGGATTCACAGCCTCAGGAGGACAGGGACACCGGCGCCCACACCGTGCCCGAGCCGGCGCTGACTCCCTCACCCACTGTCAGGCAGAAGCAGGGGCGGGCGACGCTGCGGGGGCGCAGGTTGGGGCTCCCGTCAGGGGAGCCAGAGGCACCGAGCGTGTGGCTGCCCACCCGCCGCCCATCCTACCACGAGCCGCGCGTGGGGAGGCAGGACAAGGGCGCCCCCAGTGTCGGGCGGGCGGGCGGAGAGGGTTAGCCCCCCGCAGAGGAGGCTGTTTCTAAGCCCTCTGGCCCCTTCGAGGGCTGCGGGCAGGCGGGCTCCCCAGCAGCGGCCAGAGGGGGAGGGCGGATGCACGGCCGTCCCTGGGGGCGGGGGGGCCGCGCGTGCTGGGGGGGCCTCCGGAGGAGCGGCCCCTCCTCCCACGGTGGGTGCTTTGTCCGCCCAAGGCCCCGGTGCGGGGCCAGGAAGGCAGCTCCGGGCAGCGTGTCCCCCAGGAGCGGTTCGGGGCTCCTGCGGAAGCTGGGGTGCAGGTCTCGGGGGCGAGGGCGGAGCTGCCTGCGTCGTCCCGGGCTGGCGTGCAGCCCTCTGCCTCCGTCCGGCTGTGAGTTTTCCGGGGTCACACCGGGCGAGCTCCACCCGAGGGGGACTCTGAGGGTTCCCGCCTGCGGGGCAGACCACGCCGCAGGAGGCGGTCCCAAGCCCCCGCGCGGTTCTCCCCCACTCGGCCCCCGCCGCCGCCGGCCCCTCGCACGTGGCCCCTCGCTTGTGAAACTCCGGCCAGAAAAGTTCAGTCCCCACAATCCTCGTGGAAACCGGGGCCCAGAGCTCCCGGCGACAGGTCTGTCCTCACTCAGAAAACGAGAAGGGCCGTGTCTTCTGTGGGACGTCTGTTGGGGCACAAGACCGTGGACGCTCGTCCCCGAGCACGCCGTGGCCGCAGCCCGGGCTCCTCGCGTGTAACGATGGGGGGGCGGTGAGGGAGCGGGAGGCAGAGGACCTGGGGCTCCGACTCTGTCCCCCGCCCCTCGCCCAGCCTCGGCCACGGTTAAGGCCTCGCCAAGCAGCGAGGACCCTGGGCGAGGTGGCCGCCTCTGGAAGCAGCAGCGAACTCCAAAACGAGGGAAGCGAGGGGGCGGGGCCTGCTGTGGGGGCCCGGTGAGCAAACCCAGGGAAGAAGGGAAGCGCAGGCAGAGGCCTCGCACCAGCTCCCCGCGCCGCCCGCACCCTCCCTCTGCGGCTGGGCCCCGCCCCGCCACCCAGGCCCCGCCCCGCCCGCCACCTCGGGCTCAGTGCCTGCGACCACGACCACCCGGTGCCCAGGGCCTTCCGGTCCCCACAGGGGTGCTCCCAGGCTGAAGTCAAAACAGCTGTCACTCCTTCCTGAAACAAACGCCGTGAGGGACTCTGCCCTTCTGGGAGTTCTAGACTCGCGAGCCTTTTTCCTCGGCCAATGAAAGCTGTGGCACGCCGCGCCCCCCGCCCGGGCGCACACTTGCCTCTGTAGACAGCCCCCGTCAGAGACCTGGGGGCTGTGTGCACGCGTGTGTGTGCAGGCACGGGGGCCACCCTCAGGCGAGGAGACACCCGTAGGGCCACGCTCCCCTCGCGGGGATGGGCCGCCCTCACCCAGTCCAGGGACCCAGGTGGGCAGAGCGGCAGGCGGAGTTTGGGGCGTGTCCTGAGCCGCAGGCAGAGTCGCTCTGAAACCCGGGCTGGGCTGAGTGCGAGGAAACGCTGACAAGGGGCTTCCTCCGCAGCATTAGCAGAAGAGTGGGTGCGCGGCTAGAGCTTGGGTTTGAGCAGCAGCCGTGGTCTGCGTGACGGAGTCACACACCGGTCACCCAGCCTGGCCCAGCTTCCCGACCTGTAAAGCCCCCTCTCTGCGGGCTGTCGTGGAACCCAGGGGACAAGGACTTGCAGCCCCTGGCACGGTGCTCGGTGCTCGGCAGGCTGTTCGCGCTCAGCAGACACAGTCGGGGAAGTGCTGACTCACCGCGTGGGTCACGAGACCCGGAGGCGGAGGTCAGAGCCCAGGGCTGATCGCACCCCGGCCCGGCCCTCCCCCAGCGCTGGGCGGGCCACCCTGTCTGCGCAGCTGGTGGCCCGGCTGGGGCTGCAGGCCACGGGGCCCCCGCGGCGCTCGCAGGCCCTGCCTTGAGTCCACAGGAGCAGCTGGCGCGAGGGGCTGCATCGCCGCCGCCTCTGCTCGGGCCTCCCAGCTCCCGGGAAACAGGCCCTTGGTCCCCATTGTACAGACCAGGAAACTGAGGCCCAGGGAGGTCGAGTGACAGCCCCAAGGTCCCCCAGCGCGTAACTAGCCTGCCTGCCAAGGACTGTCCCTCCTCCTCCCTGCCACACAGGGCCAGTCCCTGCCCCGAACGGGTCACCTAACGAGGGTCACGAGACACACCTGCGGAGCCAGAAGAGGCACCCCGAGTGCATGCGCAGCAGCGGCCGGGGCTGGGCCCGCGTCCGGCCTGTCCCCTGCCCTGCCTGGGGCCACGCCATAAGCCCCAGTGCAGATTAGAGGTTGACACTGTTAAAAGCAGGTGAGAAGCAGGTGAGAATTAGGGAAAGGAAGTCCCGCCTGGTGTTAAGAAATTTGGTTAATTCCTCATGGGCGGGATAACGCTACAGTGGATGTTGTATTTTTTTTAAAGGACACTTATTTTTCAGGCAGGAAACTGAACTATTCCTGGGAAGCTGGCGGGACCGGGGAACTGGCTTTGAAATAACGTGCCGAGGGGGGTGGGCCGCGGCAGGGAAGAGAGCCCGCCCCTCCTGTCCCGCCCGCCCGCTCTGAGGTGAGGCCGAGGCGGAAGGGGTCCTCCCTGCTCTCTGCACACCCCTGCCCATTTCTTCACAAACAGAAGCCAGTTTGGGTCTTCGGCCCGGGCCTTGCCGGGGAGGGGGATCCCCTGCAGGGTCTCGGCTGTGGAGGGGCGTGGGAGGACTGTGTCCCGCACCCCCACCCCCGGCTCCCGCGCCCACGCCTCTCTGTCCTGGGGCCTCCGCGTGGCCGGACCGCACCTGACCACGGGCTCCAACGCCAGGGCCCGGCTGCGCCGGCTCCTCCGCGTCGTCGTGCTCGGCCTGGCGCGGAGTGCTGGCGGGGCCCTCGGAGAGGCTGGCGGGCCGGGCAGAGCGGACCCCCGGCCTCCCGCCCTCCCTTCCAAGGGGCGGAGTCCTCGCTCCCAGCTGTGCGTCCCACCCCGTCCCTCCGACCCCTCAGGTCGAAGACAAAGCCCCCGGCAGGTGTGCAGCCGCCGGCGCCCTGAAGCCCTGTGCTTGGCTCAGGTGTTGGGAACCAGATCCCCTTCAGGTCGCTGCGTGTCCGCTTTCCTCCCCAGCCCGCCGCCCGCGCTCGGGCGGCGGTCAGCGTCTGCTGCCGCCGGGGTGCAGGGAGCGCCAGGGGAGACGCAGACACTCACCAGGAGCCCCCGCCCGCCTGCCCGCTGCGGCCTCCCTGCAGCGATGGAGACGCTGGGAAGGCCAGGCTGCCGCCCCGACCCCAACCACCCTCTGCAGGCAGGGTCTGTCTGTGCCAGGGGTGGGGGGGCACCGGGCGGCACAGCCCCGATTAAGGGGGTCAGCCCCGACGGGTGCCCACCCGAAATAGCCCTGGAGGCCGCTGGAGCGGGCAGAGACGGCGCAGGGCTTGATGGCCCGGGAGGCGGAGGGCGCCCAGCAAGGGTTAGACAAGTGCAGAGATGGGCGCAGGGCGAGCGCAGAGGGGCAGGACAGGGCTCCACGGTGGGGGGCTGTCGGGGGGCGGGGCAGGGTCGAGCCTGCCTCCCACTGGCCAGCATCTCGCAGGCTGGGGGCTTTGCGGTCCCCGGGCCGGGGCAGGAAGAGGCGGGTCTGAGCAGATGCCCAGTGGGGACAAGGCCCTCAGCCAGCCTGTCTGCCTGGCCTCAGTCCCCCTCCCCAGAGACCGGGGTGTCCCTGGCAGCGCCCAAGCCTGGAGGAGGTGCAGCGAGGCCCCGGAGGCAGGGGCCCGGGCGCCCTCCTTGGGCGTGCAAAGTCGGGAACGGGGGCAGGGCCCGGGGAGGGGCGGGGGACTCTGGGAAACGTGCCCAGGCGGGCGGACGGCAGTGTCCTGGGAGGCAGCACCCAGGCCGGGCCCAGGCAGCCGACGCTCGGCTTCACAGCCCAGAGGGAAGGGTCTGGAGCAGAGCGTCCGCTCCCCTTGGGGCTGGCGAGTGTCTCTGGCGTGGGAGCCGAAAGCTCAGGGTCCAGAACCACCTGCGGCCACCCCCCAGCCCCAGCCCCACACCGGGTCGGCCCCCACCGAGGAGGACCATGAGCTGGGCCGAGCCCTCCGGCTCCCGGGGGGCCGCTGACCCTGCCCGTCGAGGGGGAGGGGCCGCAGCCGCCCGAGGTCGCTGAGGGCGGCCGAGGGGACGCAGTGGAAGGGGCACACACTGCAGACGGCACGCCTGCGCCTGCGCCGCTCAGCCTTTTTAGAAAGTCTCTCGCGGGCTGGACACACGGTCCATGGGATGCAGGACGCGGAGGCGGCGGGAGGAGGGGAGGCGGCGGCGGGCCCCGCCTGCCCGGGCCCCAGGACCGCCTGGCCGCACCCTCGGGCCAGCGCACGACGAGGGGCAGGACCGCCTGGCAGGGCCCTCTGCCCGGCCGTCCCTGGGGTCCGCGGCCGGCAGGGCCACCGCTGTTGTCAGGACGCTGTTTGTAAACAGCGGGACAGGCGGCCTCCCGCCCCCGCCCCTCCCCTACCCCGCCTCCCTCTGAGAGCCTGGGGCTCCTGAGCCCTCACCTCCCGGTCAAGGGGGGCCCTGCCCCTGCGGCCGCTGAGCCTGCGAGAGGCAGAGCCGGGGAGCGGGCAGAGCTCCCATGAAGCTCTGTGAGAGGACGTCCTGAGTGCGGTGCTGAGAATAGTGTCCTCAGAGCCCGGGGGGCCTGGGCGGGCCCTGCCCGCTGTTGGCAGCTGTGTGACCCGCGCTGGCTG